AAAAAAAAAAAACTCTTATGTTGGAATTTCAATTGTTTAAAAAAAATAAAGTAAATATTGAAAATTTAATTATATAATGACATGTTTGTCAATAATTTATTATGAGAATGTTTATAAATTAAGTGTACAAAAATTATTTTTACTAAAAAAATGATCTAAATTTTTTTAATACAAAATTTAATCATTTAAACAATTGAAACATAAAATTTAAATTTTTCTCTACATATATAGCTTCCGTGCAAATGCACGGGAAAAATCTAGTTGACAATTAAAGATGTGTGACATATTGATGATAAAAATCAAGTAAATTAGGTATAAATTCTGCCGACTATACACGCTATAAAAAATTATGAGAAAATCAAATACATATATACAATACTCAAAATTACTTCATTCCAGTAGTTAAAAGATACTGAAAAAACTCTAAAATTACTTCTTATATGTTGCAAATATTCTTATTCGTACTATCAATTTTTAATATAATCATATATATACTTTACATGCTTGAGGTATTCCATAAACCTAATTTTATTCTATCTTTTTGAAAACAAATTGCTGGATTTATTTTTGAAAACAAATTTCCGGATTTATCTAATGTTAGTAATATAATTTTATTCCATTTTAACAATATTTGTAAGCAAGTGAGTTAGCAGAAATTCTATGGCACCACATGTGGCATCATATTATGGTGCCACAACATATGTGGCACATTATGATTGGTGTCACAACTATCACACATCATGTTGTGGCACCAATCATAATATGCCACATCATGTTGTGACACCTAATATGGTGCCATAGAATTTCTGAGTGAGTTAGCTCATGTTGGTGGAAAATTTGTTTTCAACGTTATAGAGTATGATATGAATATATAAAATGACATTAATAAGCAAGTGAGTTATTTAAAATAATGTTTTCGCTAACAGGCAAGCAGTTTGAAAACAATATTGTTAAAATATTTGTAACAATTTTTTTTAAGGTTGAAAACAATATAAAATGCCATTATATAGATAGTATGAATATTTAACAATTTTTTAACAATATTTGTAGCAACTAGTACAGATCCCGTGCGATGCACGGGTGCACAAAATTAAGGTTATTTATCAA